TTTAGGAGCTGGACCAAGACCCAGGGCCTTGCCCAGGGTCATCCAGCAAGTCAGCACAGGGCTAGGGCTGGAGGTCTCTTCAGTGCCAGCCTGCCATCATAAACCACCTCCTTGGTGCCCACTCACTTGAGGATATGCTGAGCTAAGGATAGGATGAGGGGCCACTCAGGAGCCAGCACCCAGTCACCCCAGCCATCCACCAGCAGAGACACCCCAGTCTCTGCCTCCCCAGGTGCTGGCCTCTAGAAGCCACCTCTGCCACCCCACTCGCCCTGCTTCCCCTCTCACTTCCGGCCCAGCACAGAGCAGCCACTCGCATACCCTGCCAGTGAAGTGTTTGGTTCCAACCTAAGGTCTTTTCAAAGCTTGTACCGCTTCAAAACTCTTTAACTTGAGTCAGTGGGACTCTAGTAGTGGAATAATCAGCAGCATTTGGGGGCAGATTAGACTCACTCTTTGCCACTTGGAGGCCGCTTTGCCTGCTGAGCTCCCCAGCCCCTGGGCTGTGGAGTGATCACTCTAAAGTCCAGCTGTGGATTGTTTGTCTGTCTGTATTGTCTGCATGTCAGAGCTTGCAGGTACATAAAGACCCAAGGCAGGATCCCCGTTTCCATGCTTCTGAGTTCTGTGAGTGTTGGCCAGCCGCCAGCACATCCTCTCTAGTCACCAATGCGTGACAGGCAGGCAGCGGGGAGGATGAGGAGCCAGTGGGGACGCACGTCTTTGGAGTGACCACCGTGCTTCCATCCTTCCCAGTGACAGACAGCAAGAGGAGTGAGACTGCTCAAGCCAAGCTAGATGGAGGGGTGATGACTGAAAACAACGATGTGAAGAGCAAGCATCCTTGTCCAGACTCGCCCTGCTCTTCAGCTGCTCAGAGCTGTGTCTGGATGCAGCTGACCGTGGGGAGATCTTTGAGCAAACCCTCATGTTTGGAATCCAGCAAGTGGAGCACTCAAGCCTGAATGGCCCCCAGGAACACTTGTGTCCCCCCCACTCCCATTACAGAGAGGGGCTGATCCCCAGGGAAGATGACATGGTGCCACAGCCGCTTACTGTTAGAGCCAGAACAACGGGACGTGGAAGGGCCTTGGAGAGAAAAGACTCACAGCTAATCCAGTGAGATGAGAAAGGCTTGGGGTCGCGACCAGACTCAGCAGGGAACCCACAGCCCACCAGGATGGTGGCCCAGGAGCCAGCCAGCCTGGCGGTGGTGTCACAGGACAGCCAACTGAAGCCATGGTCATACCATCTTCACCATCTGGTATTGACACACCCAAGGACCATGTGAGTCTTTCCTGGACCCAAGCCTGGCTGGCTGGGTCCATGGACGCAGGAGAGAAGCATCTAAAGAGCACACCCTGCCTGATGCCTCCTTCCTCCCATAACCTGGAAGGAATCATTCACTTACTAGGTGAGCAGCCTGGGGATTAGGCATGTCCCCTGATCACACTCTTGGCCCCAGGGAACCCCCTCCCCAGGCCTTCTGTTACAGTTGTTGTTAAGTGCCATCAAGTCAGCTCTGGCTCATAGCCACAGTGCATGGCAGAACAGACTCCTGCCCAGCCCTGCACCGTCCTGTCAGCCCAGTGTTGCAGTCTGTGCTAATCCATCGCATCCACAGTCTTCCTGTATTTCACATCTAATCACGCTCATCTGAAACCTATACTTAGACCAAAAAGCTTTTATTTAAAGAGAGCAAGGGAACACTGCATGTTTTAAAATCAAGAAATGTGTGCATCAGGGCTGTTTCCTTTGTCTACACCTATTTAATCTTGTATGCTGAGCAAATCATTCAAAAAGCTGGATGCTATAGAAAAATATGGCATTAAGATAGAAGAAGACTCATCAGCAACCTGCATTATGCAGATGACACGACCTTGCTTATGGGAAGTAAGGAGGACTTGAAACGCTTGCTGAAGAAGAACAACCACTGTGAATTACATCTCAACACAAAAGTCCTCACCACTGGCTCGATAGGCAACAGCAGGATAGAGGGAGAAAAGACTGAAATTGTCAGCGATTTCATCTTGCTTGGACCCACAATCAACACCCTTGGCACCAGCAGTCAAGAGATCAAAGGATGTTTTTGCACTGGGAGAGTCTGTTGTAAAAATTCTCCAAAGCTCAGTGGAGCAGGGATGTCAGTTTGAAGACTATAGTGTGTCTGATTCAAACCGTGGCCTTTTCAATCACTTGCAATGCATCTCGAGCACTGGACAATAAATAAGGATGACAGAAGAAGAATCAGTGCCTTTGAGTTGTCATGTTGGAGAAGAATACCGAATATCCCATGGACTGACAAAAAAACAAACATAAGTCTTGGAGATGGTGCAGCCAGAATGCTCCTTAGAGGCCTGGATGGCAAAGCTTTGTTTCACACACTACGGTCAGACAGTTACATACAGGTAGGAGGTGCTTATCTTTGGGAAGGGACATCATGCTTGGAAAGGACAGCAAGAGAGAGGAAGATCCTCAATGAGATGGAGTGACTCAGTGATGGCAGTGTTGGGCTCAAGTGTGTCACAGGTGAAGAGGATGGTATGGGAGAGGACAGAGTTCAGACGTTCACTATGAGTTGTGCTTGACGTGACACCTGACAACTTATTTGTCCAACTGCAGTAATGGGCTTGAGCATGGCAGAGGTCATGGGAATGGTGCAGAATAGAGCAAGGTTCCGACCTGTTGTTCATAGGATAGCTATGAGTCATAGTCAGTTTGACCATACCTAACGGCAGCTGATACCAAAGAATGATGGCCTTCTCCAGAGACCAGCCCCTTCTGACAATATGCCCCAAACATTTGAGACAAAGTTTCCTCATTCTCGCTCCTAAGGAGCACTTGAATGAATCCATTTTTGCCAAAACAGATGTTTGTTCTTTTGGCAGTCTGTTAGATCCCATATTCTTCATCAACACTGCATTTCAGGGGCGTTAATTTTTCTCCAGCCGTCATTACTCATTGTCCAACTTTCACAGGCTTCGGAAGCAATTGAAAATACCACGGCTTGGGTCAGACGGACATTACTCTTTAAAGTGACGATCCTTATTGTAAAAAGGACCTTGGCAGCTGATTTTCCCAATGTATTATGTCATTTGATTACATGACTGCTGCCTCCATGGGTGTCGACTCTGCACCCAAGTAAAAGAAAGTCCTTGATGCCTTCAATCTTTTCTCTGTGTACAAGACTGTTGTTTACTGGGCCACTTGTGGAAATTTTTGTTTTCTTTATAGTGAGGTGTAATCCAGACTGAAGGCTACAGTGTTTGAGCTTCACCAGTATGGGGAGCTCGATGGCCTAGTGGGTAAGGAGTTATACTGCCAACCCAAAGGAAGGTGGTTTGAATCCACCAGCTGCTCCAAGGGAGAAAGATGTGATTTATAGCCTCTGAAAACCTGCTGGAGCTGTGAGTCACAATGACAATGAGAGTGATCGAATTAAATCTTAATGTTATCTTCACTTTCAAAGCAAGGATGTTCCATAGATTGAATGGATTATAAATATGAGTAAGTTACGTATAAATCGTAACTTCTACACTTGTGGTTATAATTTTTCTTTGGGATGAATTGTTATGCTAATAAAGCAGGATTAGTGCAGGATGTGTCTTAAATCAAGCCTTTTTTGAACTATAAAAGTGACTGAACAAACAAGTAAGCAGAGGAGAAATGGGGTTACACTGATGTCAGGACACACTGGAGATTGTCAAGGAACCAGGAAGTAGCGTCTGAAGAGATGCAGACCTGCCACCAAAGCCAACAGAAAGCCTTCCCCTAGAGCCAGTTCTCTGAATTTCTACTTCTAGCCTCCAAAACTGTGCGATAATGTGCCTCTGTTTGTTAAAGCCCCCCACTTGTGGCATTTCTGTTCTCGCAGCACGAGATAACTAAGACATCTTTCAGCAAGTGGAGAGTCTGAGGACGAAGAGGTGGGCAGTTGCCTGCTGTGGCCAGTGATGCCAGGTGCAGGCCCAGCTGTTACCACCTTACTGGCTCAGTTAAGGGCCAAATTGATGAAGCAGATGAGGGTGGCACAGACCAGGGCCAGGGTCATTCCTCATAGACCGTAGCCAACCCATAGTGAGTTAGACCCTGAACCTGACCCAAGGAGCTGGAGGAGGCACTAAAAGCGCACACATAAAATATCAGAATGGTAACACTGTGTGTGTTCAGGCCCTGAAGAGGACACACTAAGGTGCAGGAATGGTGCAATCATGGTGTCTTCTTGGAGAAGGTGAAGACACTTGGCGGCACAGATGCAGGAGGGGCAGAGAAAGAAGCATGCTGTGTTCTTGTTAAAGTCAACCAAGAGGAAGGGGGTTCAAGCTCACCAGCTTCTCTATGAGAAAGAGGCAATCTCTCGTGTGATCTGACTTTGAAACTACAAAGAAGCTCAAACCTCCTCAGGCCAGAGGGACCTTATTTCTGGCCATAGTTTTTGTTGGTTGTTTTTTAAAAAGAACCAACCCACCCAGTTGTTGAGTTTATTTTGACTTGTAGTTACCCCAGAGGTAACTTTCAAAGTTGTTGTTGCCTAGGGTTTTTGACGGCTGAGTTTCTAGAAATATATTGCCAGGCCTTTCCTCTGCAGTACCTCAGAGCCTCCTGTCTTTCAATTAGCAGCCAAACACCTTCTCCATTTGTACTACCACACCTGTACCTCCCAAGAACTCCTCATCCAGAAACCACCTATCCTCGGGCTGAATCAAGTGGAGTCATCCCAACTCCTGGACACTGGACACCTGGCTTCTGAGCCTGTAAATTTTGAAGGGATCCAGCTGCCTCATGTTCGGTCTGTAGAACAGCTGATGGATTTGAACTGTTGCCAGCTTAAGTACTGAAGTGGGTGGTCTGTAAGTGACACCTCTCTGCTGTTGCATCAAGGCAGTCCCTATGCAGCAGCCCAGCCGGGGCCTTGGGCCCCTCCCTGTGGGTGGGTGCACGCACAGGGCTGTGAGTTCTGGTGAGGCCGGCACTAACTAGCTGTCTTCTCGCCCCTGCAGGCACGGGTCCTCGCGACGCCACAGACCCGCTGCTGTACCTGCTCCTGTTAGCTGTGCATAAGCTGCTGCGCGTGCTCGTGGGGCACTGACAGTCACCTCCACTCTCCACGCTCCGCGGTGCGTGCAGAACCCGGGCCCTCCGCGGGGACTGCGCCTCGGACAGACACTGGGACTGAGAGAAGCATGACAAATTCCACGTGGAAAATCAACCAATCATATTTTGGGGGAAGGTACACAAATGTAGAACACCTAAAATAATGCATCTAGTTTCCAAATAAGATGGAGTTCAGGCCATGCGGTGTGCATGGGTCCGTGATTTCGCAACTTCAACATAGTTTTCTTTTCTAAAGCCTCCCTCCAGGTCTTCATTTTGCACGAACTGTTGCGCAATTACCTTTAGGACAATACGTGAAAAATGTCAGATGAAAGCCTTTCTGACTAAGCGAAATATTTTTTCGTAGATTCTTGCTTTAAGAATCCTTTTTTTCCCAGTTTACTTTTTTCCCTTGGGTTTTTTTTTCTTTTTTTATCAAGTAAATTATTTCTTTCGAGACATTTTGATTTAAAAAAAAGACACATCTTATCATAATTGAAATTCACTGTCAATAATATTTATTTTTAAATAAAGATTGGAAACAAGGTCAGACACTTGTTTATAAACTGTATTGTATATTGCTGAATAACAGTTGAATAAAAAAACAACTTTGAAATAACGTCTCTACAGCCATGTATGAATGTTCCAGTCTTGGTGTCAGGGCAGCCTGGGCGCTGTGTCCTTGGGCCTCTGAGGCATCAACAAAGCTACATCCAGCAGGCAGGAACTCTTTTCCTGTTGTTCTCTAAGGAAGGAGTCCTATAGACAGAAGACCCAGCATCTGAAGAGGAGACCACTGGAAAGAGGTGTGATCTCAATCAAGAACTGCTGTTTCCTGTTTGGGTTTAAACCACTGTGTGCTGTGTTTGCTTACTTGGCAATTACATAGCAAAGTACGTTTTTCTGTTATCAGCTTGACTGCTAATTTGGAGGAGAAATCTGAGGAAAGCACCCTGTTCTCTGAGCATCCTGAGCTGTGCGCTTTGACACTGCCCTTGAAGATGCCTTGGTGGGTACTCGTCCTTGCTGGGGTCCCAAAGATTCCTTTAACATCTTCTCAGATGTGCTTACCTGCTGTGTCAACAAGTGTGGCTGTGGTTGATGTCACTCACCAATGATGGGCTACCTGGGGCAGGTAGGATAGCACACCTCAGGCAGGTTGGGCTCTGTAACCACCGCTGGGCAGTGGGCTGCAAACCAAAGCACTCTTCTGTGACATCACAACTGGCAGCAGCATTCCAGACTGACCCAGCCTGGTTCTCAGAGACTAGGATGTGCAGGGCCTCCTGCTGGCCAGCACCGGATTTGCAGCTCATGAAGAGCCAACCTTTGTTTTTTAAGCTGCTTTTCACTGCTATGTAGAGCAGGCTGTCCTGAACAAGACCCTGCTAGATAGTGAGCAACTGACGGCCACGACCCCTCCCATTGTCAGGAGTCGTTCCAGCTCACAAAGACCCTCCGTCGAGTTTCACAGTGAATAAAAATGGCAGGGGAAGAATTAATGCTTGTCAGTTGTGGTACTGGAGAAGAATCCCGAATATCCATGTTTGCCAAAATATCAAACAAATACGCCATAGAGAAAATGCAACCAAGATGCTCCTTGGAGGCAAGGATGGTGAAGATTCTTCTCCAAAACTTTGGAAATGTTACTAAGAGAGGCTATTGTTTTGGAAAGGGACATCATGCTTGGAGAGGTAGAGGACCAGTGAAAAATAGGGAAATCTTCCATGAGATGGACTGACATGATGACTGGAGCAACAGGCTCACGTAAGTCAGAGACGATGAGGATGGCACTGCATAGGACAAGGTTCAGATCTATTGCTCATAAGGTCACCATGAGTGAGCCTCAGTACAAGGACACCTACAAACAACAGCTCTTAGTGCAGGGAAACTGCCCACCTTTCTCCTGAGGATTCAAACTGTGAGAGACACTCAGCCTTTTGGTTAAGAGCACAACACCCAATGGGTGATGCCAGCAGAGCACCTTGAAGTCCACAGTATGTTGTTGAAATAGAGCATTCTGTGATTGGAATGAACTCATTATATGCAGTAGAGAAGCACTCAGCATAGTCACAGGGGCCTGAGACCCTAGGCACCAAGGAAGCAAGTGAAAATCGTGACTCTGCTGCTGAGCCCCTACTTTACTCCTGCCCCTCCCCCCCGAGTCCCTCAGTCCTCTGTCCTGCCACCTCCTCCTCCTTCCCAGCTAGTTTCCTTATTCTCTGAGACACTGTGTCTACCATGGCAAGAGGAGCTGTGATCTTGGGAGGAGCCCCTCCCACAGCATCTGGAAGGACCTAACAGGCAGCGGAGGATGGGCTCTAGGACATTCCCCCCACCCCGCCCCCTGCCCAGATCGGATCTAGGTACTCAACAGTACTTACACATGTCCATTGGGCATTATAACCACTGGGACTACGGAGGTGTGTGCAGTTGAATGGAAATTGAGATGCTTGTAATTCCTTGAAGGAGAAGAGAAGTGAAGGGCATCTGGGCAGCCATCAGCCGCAGAGACTCCCGTGTGGCGTGCCGGTGGCTGAGAAGCACTCAGGGCTGCTGTCCCTGGTGGAGCCACTAAGTTGTCTCACATTTCATTCGTATCGATCAGCGCCAATCGAGCTGTAAATTTAATCATTTTGTCTGGTGGATCGTGATTCTGTCCAGAAGGATCATCTCTTTTTATAGTTAGCTCAATACTGCAGCCGGCGAATGTCATGTTAAATACTGGTCCTCGGTGCTGAAAAGAAAAAGGTGCTGCCTGGATGCTGGGCTGAGTGGAAATGGGGTTTCAGTGAGGGGCTGACACCATGCAAGCCCCCTCCCTGGAGACCAGGAGCTGGAAGGTTTCTTGGCTCCAAAATTAGATTCTCATGTGCAGGAACAATCCATGGGCCACCCCATGTGAGGCCCTGGGAAAAGGAAGGCAGGTGGACTCTGGGGAGACTGCTCACTGGGTGCCCCTTGTTTTTTGTTTTGCACAGAGAGGGTGCAAGCCATTGCATGTGCCTCCAGCAGCTCGATGGAGGGTCGCCAGGGTCAGAATTGACAATTACAGTCAATGTGTCTATGCTATAGTGGTCTGTGCCATTGTGAGCCACTGAGATTGTGGCTACAGGGTACTGACCCTGGCAAGTGGGGTTCAGCTTTCTCTGTACAAGCTGGTCTCCACAGCAGAGTGACCTCCTACCACCAGGGTGACACCACTGTGCTGGCATTTCAGAGTCTGCACCCTCAGTTTTTTCCTGCATGACTGACTGTTGGCAAGAAGCTGGGTGGGTTTTGCCCCCTTGAATGTGTGTGTGTGTGCACACCTTTGTTTAAGAGCCTGGTGCTTTCCTCAGGGAATGATGTAGCCTTGGAAACGAGCCTCAGTGAGGCTGGACTCCCAGTCACGTTACAGTGTTGTTAGCGCCTTTCCTCAGAAGAGAAAGATGGCCCAAGCCAGCATGGCTTAAAGGCATCACCATCATCTGTCCTGGGACTCCTGGAGTCCTGGAAACTCCCCAGCCCTTGAAATGGGTGCAAAGCCACAGTCTCTACGAAGTCCTTGTCCCAGTCTGTGGTTGCAGACACTACAGCAGGGCAAATCTGGAAACCACAAGATACAACTTTTTAAAATGACACACACCCATGGGGCATCAGAACAGTGTTTCAAGTTTTTGGTATGTCCCTACACCTAGTCTCCTTGGCTACCAACTAGCAAAAAAAAAAAAAAAAAAAAAATTAGATTGCTTTTCCTGGGCAAACGCTTTTTTGCTGGCGGTTTGTTTTAAACGTGGGCATAAGTGGACTCTTGGTAGAAAATACAGATGATATCTTTTAGGTTGGTTTTGAAAAGTTTTTATTTTTTTTATTTTTATTGTATTATTTTTACGTGTACCGTCAAATCAGATCTGACTTGAAAAGTTTTTCTTATAATGTTGTTGTTGTTAATGTGCTGTCAAGTCGCCTGTGACTCATAGTGACACCATGTACAACAGCCCTAAACCCAGCTCTATCCTGTGCCAATCTTATTCCCATTACCCCAGTCACTGAATCAATCCATCTTATCGAGGGTCTTCTTCTCTTGTGCTGTCCCTCCACCCTCCCAAGCATGACATCCCTCTCCAATGACTGGTCCTGCCTTGCAACATGCCCAAAATATGTCAAATGAAGTTTCAGAATCCTTACCTCCAAGGAGCATCCTGGTCTCACCCTCTTTAGGACAAACCTGTTTTTTCTCCTAGCAGCTCATGGTATATTGTCTTCTTATGCTAGAACTCAAAAATAATAACTGTGAAAGAACAGAAAGATGAGTTTAGTCGGGTTTTTTTAGAAATTATAACAAAATATTAGTATTAATCATATAGAACTGTAAGTCAAGAAAAACAACTATGAGCAATGAATACAATATGGCCAATAAAGATATTAAATGTATTCAGCGTTAATAGTGACAAAAAAGGAAGAACTATTTCTATAAGGAATAAAAATTGTAAGATAAACAAGAAAAGAAAAAAGCCCCAGTACTATCCCTAGGTCATTTCTGATTTATAGCAATTCAGCAATCTCTGTGGCTATGAACCTTAAAGGAGGAAATTTCCAGCTTTCTCAGGAGCACCTGATGGATTTGAACTGCAGACCTTTCAAAAAGCAGTCCCATAACTTATACACTCCACCACCAGGGCTCTGTAATAGTGACAAGAGAAATGTAACTCAAGGTTACAATGACTATGCCTATTACAATGACTGTCAGAATGAAAATGTTTGGCAATGCCCCCTGTTAAGGAGGGCGTGGTTCCAAAGATCTCTTCCACATGGATGGTGGGAGTTTAATAAGTTAGTGGAAAATACTTTGATACGAACTCTTAAAATTGCACATTCATATGCCATTTCTAAGTGTAGATTTGACACAAACTGGCTCAGGTCAGCTATCACACTACCCAGGTACAGGTAAGTTCTCATAGTTAGAAATGTGGGAAAATACAGAATCTTTTCCTTGCGGAATCCTCTCTCTAA